TCATGATTATTTGTTGATTGGAGGGAGTGACCTCAGTGTAGGTAAGTAAGTATTTGGTAGGAAATCCGTATCACTCTGTTTATTTATTGCGCAACAAAAATTAGATTCGCTGAAGAAGGCCCAAAAAAAGGTGCCAAAACGTTCGACAATTAGATGTAAGATATACGACACACAAACACATATAAAATATATTAATAAATAGCACCTAGAACAAGCTAAGGCTCAATAAATAAGCGTGTATCATCGTTTTAAATATCTAAGATTGATCTGCAAAGATCTTTATAGTTCAATAACCGTAATAATGCTTATAAAATACACAAATTTAGAATGCGACAAATATGCGAGAGAAGTTGTGGACAAGACCGGGATAACGTGTTTGGCCGGCACTTCCGATGCAAATAAACCGCAGGACGATACATTTCATATCGTAGTGGTCGGCGGTGAAGAAGCAAAAGTCGACGAGTTCCCGCACATGGTCGCCTTGGGAAAACACAATTCTAACAAGCCGTTTACCTTGATATGCGGTGCTACGTTGATCTCACATACCTGGGTACTTTCTGCTGCGCACTGCACTCATGGGCCAAAGTACACTCCCATTATTTTTCCTTTGCCTTATGTATACTTAAGCCTTATGCCTACATAAGAATTCCGATAAACAATATTTTTTTCCTTCTAATCGGAAAACTGTCACACTAATAATTGTACAAATACATCAGATAAAACTCGAAATCCGAAGATATTCCTCAAGACTAACTCCATAGCATTTCTTCTACGAGACGCAAAATATTCTAGATTAAAAAAGAAACAAAAGCCAATTATTGAAAATTGAAAAATTTTCAACAGAAAATTTAAGAATTATTGAGAATTAAAATTGCAATTACTTGTGAAATGATAAAGAAAATTAATTCTTCTCGATTTACCTTTTTTTCAGTGGCGTTCCATCTCACGCCCGAATAGGCTTTCACAGATTAACAGACGAAAATGCTGGTGTCACGGTTGACATTAAGCAAATGATACGACATCCGGATTATAAACCACCCGTGATGTACGCGGATATAGCTCTGGTAAAACTCAGACGTGCCATTACGTTTACCGCATCAATAAGACCTGCGTGTCTCCATCAGCAATACGATGTCATGCCTATAAACGCCTCGATCAGCGGTTGGGGTGTCACCGAATTTGGTAGGTATATCGATAATTCTTCGTGCAAAATCTTCGAATCGTCGAATCCATAGAATTTGATAGGAATCCAGATATCTAAGGACTTTACATCTATTAGGAATCAGGAACTTTATTTTGAAAATTAAAGGTTTATATAAGGAATGGAATACTAAAATGGAATACCTAATTAAGGTTTAATGATGTGTTTCCAGCTGGAGATCAGAGTGATCGACTACAGAAGGCTGACTTGGATCTGATAGATAATCTGGCGTGTACAAAAGTTCACAACAATTCCAAGGAAGTTCCATACGGTATCAGATCAAACATGATTTGTGCCGGCGATCGTATTGGCGGTTGGACCAGGGATACTTGCCAAGGTGACTCTGGCGGCCCTTTGCAAGTGACCCATTCCAGAAATACGTGTCTCTTCCAAGTGATCGGTATCACCAGCTTTGGTCAGGGCTGCGCGATGATGGATACGCCTGGCGTTTACACTAAAGTTTCTTATTACGTTCCCTGGATCGAAAGTATCGTCTGGCCGCGAGGAAAATAATTGATCTATTCGATTTTTGTAAAAGGTACAAAAATCATTCTTTATTAAATTGTATTCAATTGGCTAAATCAAGTCTCACAGTTAGCTGACGAATAATTCTGTCAGTTATCTAAAAATTAATCATAAGCTAAAAAGTTTATGACATTTGATATTTTGTTTTAATTATTATTCTATGATAATAATTTTTAATGTATAACAATAATTTTGAAATTTTAGATCAACGTCATTTGCATTCCTATTGCTGCCAAGAATATTGTTAGTTGCCGATTGAAATGGCTGATCGTACATGTCACTTTAATTAATTATGATAGTGCAATTAAACAGTTTACTGTACTGACTAGAATATTGGAACGTAGGAACAGAAAAGTAGCAAAACAAAAATTGTAAAATGCGGATCTGATGTTTGGTTTCGTTGCTCTTCTGAATCTTAAATATTAAGAAATCTTGCTATCGTGAACTGTTCGCCATGTGAGCCCGTCACCATATGGGCCATGTGACGATGGAAATAAAACATTCCACCAGCTTCTATAACAATAAACAAAATACGTTAGAATAATAATATTCAACATATTTGATAAAAAAATAATAAAAATAATACTCAATGTACATAACAAAAAATTGTCAATAAACATTTATGTGTTCTATAAAACTTGTAGCCACTATTATTAATTTTTAGTTTTATATTGGAAGTTGTAATTTTAAAATTGGAATAATACAAACATTTAAGCATCTGGAAAGACAAAAATTGCATTGAATATACCACAATTTATTTTGTGAAATTCTAATTGCAGATTGTATCTAACTTTTTGTGAAAATAAGACTTTTAAAAAGAACATTTTTACTGCCTCTTTTAATTAATCTTTTTTTAAATGCAGCTCCCTAAATATCGTTGATTGTATTTTACCTGTTTTTAATTCCCAAAAACAATCTCCAGTTTTCCCTCGGTCCAAAGTCGTAAGGGTTCTGATAAAACTTGCCCTGTGACCGATACTTCTGTGATTCCGTGCTGTTGATACGGCCCTCGATGCTCGTCTCTCCTCGAGTGATGAGACGAGCGTGCCACGAAGTCAGAGTGCCCAAAGCTACACATGTAGCGACGCTTATTAAACCCGCAAAAATTATCAGTCTTCGTCGCCATTCCTTGACCTCACTTTCCGCTGCCTGTCTCGCTATTTCCGCCAATTCTTCCTTGCTTAAATGGTCCAAGGACTCTGTCTGCGTTGTTTAAATATTTCTTATATAATAAAGAACGATAGTTTGATAAAAAAAAAGAAATAATAGATATTAGACAATTGATTAACATACCACAGGAATTATTTCTGAATTATTGAGGCGCACTGGATGGCCGTCCAATTCTGGTTCTTGGTCGGGAAAGAACTCTTCATAGGCAAGTTGCACGCCGAATATCATAATGAACATAATGCCAGCCACAGTGTAAACCATGTACAGAAAAAAGTGCCGATGGTTGTAATGACCGACACAATTGTTTAGCCACGCTGCACGTTGATTAAGGAAAACTTGTAGGAGATTAATCCTTATTAATAATAATAAATCTACAAAGAATGATTGAATAATGATTGGATAGTCAAATTGACTCTGAAATGTCCAAGGATACGACAATGATGGTCCATCTTGAGAATGCATTTATTGCATACGGAACAATGGTGCGTTCTGGGTGGCTTTGGCTTGATGCATTTCTTGCAGATGCTCACAGCCTCAGGAATAAGACCACCTTGCGGAGGATAACCAGCTGGCACTGTCACACCCATGTAATAGTGGAAACAGACATTAACTAACAGCCAATTTCCAATCACCAGCAGAATTATCGTCGCCGATGGACTCTGGTCCCACCACCAGGGTAAACCCACGTAGTACGCAATGTATACAATGATGGCGGTCAGTAGACCTACCATCACTACAAACACCTGCAAGCTGCAGTGCTTAGTAAATATATTGTGGATACAACAAAGTTTGCATTATACAAAAAAACAAATTGTAAAACATTCTGCAAAATATTATCTATATAAGTATTAATATTGTAATATTGAAAACTGTATGTTACAAATATATTACTCCTCATTTAATCTCTTATAAACTGATAAGATTACGTAATGCAAGAGTAAATATCTGAAATCTTACCGGACCCAAGCAGGCAGCAAAGCGTTCGACAAACCAGAACATGGGTTCCATAAGTATATCACAAACATAACTCCAATTCAAGAAGTCATTGTAGAATAAGGATTTGATGGTGATTTGGAGCCGCCACCATGTCTGTTTTAGACTAATCCTAAAAATAAATTAAATGAGATTATTATATTTATGTAATAAATTATACATAAAATTGTATTTAAAAAAGTAAATAAGCTGTACTAACTTTTAAAAATTATACATTAAAATTACATATATAAAAAATCTAAAAATAGAATAAACTTGTTTAGTAAAGAAGAAGTTTAATGCAAGGCAAATAAATATAGTTTATTAAATGTAAAAATTCATTAACTTACTTAAGAACATTTGGCGCCTTCGCCAAGGACCAATGTATCCTCGCCATATTTGCTTTTTCCCTCGAATATATTCATAATTCTAACATACTAAAGACATATGTTTCACGACTGTTGATACAGTTATTCGTCGTCATATTGCCTGATCTTTGTACATTTTGATATACACCTGATAAGGTGCTATAATTGATACAACGTTGCAATCACATCAGTCACATCAAGGAAAAATAACCTCGATCGATTAGCGAATACAGAGCTGCCATCTGTATCCCTGCAAGAGAATTAACATAAAAGCGTATTATTAAAAAAAAATATCATGTTAAATATTTATTATACATAGTATTACTATGTATAAACATAAATTAGAGCAAAATGTAAAATTATATTGTTTTTCCTCTTCGTCATCGTACTGTGTAAACCATTTTTTTAGGGGCGGTATTTTCAAACTCAAGAATCATACCCACAATTATAGGCAGGAAGGCTCTTTGAAGATAAATTATCTCAAAGTATTTTTTACATCTTATATTTTTCTAAAGTATAATAAAACTCAAATATTTCGAGGTACAAAGATTTATTTTTTTTTTCAGGTATGCATAAGTGTACATGCGTTTTAACAAAAGTGCATATACGTATGTACACACTACATCCTAATCTCGGTAAACGCAAAAGGCGTGTTTTGCGTTTACAACGCTGAAAAATTCGCAATATATGCGAATAAGAATAAATTCACGAAATGCTCTTAACAAAGTCAATATAGTTTGTTTCTGTAAGAGATATTACTTTTTTATATATCTTAAATCTCAACAATTTTTGGGAACAAGTATAATTAGTGGTGTCGACATTTCATCTGCCATGAAGATCGAAATAAAGTTATAGAGGAAAACTTTATTTCTTAAATTTAAAGAATATAAATTTATGGATTCAAGAATATTTAAATAATTAAGAAGTTTACACGATTGAAGCGTTTAAAAACGCAGAAATGGCAACTTTTGCGAGTAATCTGTAAAGATTTAAGATTGTACAATATATGTAATGAAAGGATTTGAAGTTTAGTTTCTTAAAAATGAAAAATTTAATATTAAGATCTAAAAAGATCTGAGAAATATTGTGTCGTTACTATTGACATCACACATGGCAGACAATGAGTTGCCTTAACTCTAATAATAATTCTTTATTAATATCGATAACATTATGTAATAATAAGGTACAGGATAATCACACGAGGTATCGACCAAATGATAATAGGATAACATTTGTTTCCTTCAGTTGGTCCAAGAAGAGTATTGTTTCGTAATCGATGAACAAAAAGTTCAAATTCGGCATTCACGATAATACATTAAGATTGAAAGATCAAATTTTGGAAATCTTAAAGAGCTAGCCCATACAGCACAGAATCTTTCAACTACACATTGCAATAATGTTACGATTTTGCAAATTGCAATGTTGAAGAGACATTATAAAGACATGAAATTGCAAAATTTTTATAAGATTACATTAATGTTGCATTCAACAATTTTAAAAAATATTATAAAAACCTCATCTTGTTCAAAAATTGGTTGGGATTAATCGATAAATATATGCAATTAAAAATGTATTTAATCGTTTTTGTCTATATTTCTACTTTTGATTAATCCCATGCAACTTTGTTTATAGTCATATATGCTAAGATAAATTGATGACTGATCAAACTTGTGTTTTCCACACGTATTGTTATTGACATACATCAAAATTACATTTATGCAAGATGTCATCGTTTTCTATATCTGTGCTGTAGGGAAGGGCAGACTTGCGCCCAAAGAATCAATCGATTAATACCTACACCATTAAAAATCCCGATGTTTAAATATTTTACGACTACGCGAATGTCCGTGATAATTCTTAAAAAAAAAATTTAAAAAATTTCTAAGCATTACATTCTATAAAATTTAAAAAAATTTTAAAAAGATCAAAAATTAAATCTTTTTCGTAAATTATGAAACCCCCTTTTTTTGCTTTTACAGATCAAATTCATGTCGATTGCTCTCATCTATTTCTTTTTTCTTTTTTGTTTCTGCAACAATTTCTGGATGAACCGATAGTTCTCTTTCTGCAATATAATTAACAATTTAACAATATTTTGTAATATATTCGGTATTTTAATATAATTTTAACATTCCAAACTTCTAAAGCTGCGCAGCTTCAAGAAATTTCGAATTATGAATAATCGGTTCTTTTAGATTCTCAAGAGTCGAGTGACGTACCAGAAGTGTTGTACATGAAAGACTGGGTAGGTAAGTAAACAGGGTACATACATATTTACAAAGACACGTGCGAAAGGGTTAGCGTCGTTTTTTACAGTCACGTCTCGAGCAATGACAATCTGACTGCCTGCGCTTGGCTTTCTCTCGCTGCAAACGACATCTTGAATAATGTACGTTATCCCTGTAAATCATAAGCTTACGATTCGCAAAAGATTTAACTAGAATTTTATAATCTTCTTTAGAAAATACTTTTAACATTTTCGATAAACTTTTTTCATACGCGTAATCATTTGAAGAATAATTTGCATACCCTCTTTATTTGCGTAAAGCGACACGGATAAATCGATGAAAAGTTTCACGATACTCTGTGCCTCGTCATTGCTCAAAGCGTAGTTGATAATCCGATACTGGAATCTTCAGTAGAATGTTAAGATCTCATAATACGGTGTCCAGAGTGTCGAGACTTCGTAACAATTGCTCGTCCTTGGAGCACCATTGCACCAGCTCTTCGATGGTCACCACACCGTCCTTATTCGCATCCATCAACTAAAAATATACATGAGACATTATTAATAACTAACAATTAATAATCAAAAATATAAGTTATTAGAAAAATATTATATTAAAAAAATAAATCACCGTCGTCTATAAAATATTACTAAAAAAACACAATTACAAAATATAATAAATTATCATAATAATTACCTTCAAAAAAAAGATAGAAAATTTTCGAATAATTAATAACTGTAGAACAAAAAATCTCAGATTAAATAAATGTCTGTCGATTACTTACAGCTACAATTTTATTTTTTATTTATATATAAACACTTATTGCCCGACTGGAGATGACGTAACACTCACGTGGAAGATGCGGTCAACGTGTTCGCGAGCGGCCACATGTGGTTCGAGGATTTGCGGTTGCGTGTAGCGACCAAGCATCTCGTAGATGGAACCCACAACGTCCAGCATTTCCTCCTTGCTTATCAAACCATCGCCGTCCAGATCGTACAGTCCGAATACCCATTGCAGCTTCTCCTCCACCGATCCTCTCGACACTTTCGACAGTATAGTGAGGAATTCCTGTGAAAAGTTTGGAGTACAGTTTGGAACGGCGGGTTTCCTGAAGAACTTGGACACTATACTCAGGGAACTTCTATATGCTAAGTTTAGAGCCGAGTTTGGAATCGCGGGAACATTTCCGCGTTTCTCTAAAGCGTTTGTCTACGACGTCGCTCACCTCAAAGCTTATCTTGCCGGATGGTTTCCTCTTCATGGTGTTGAAGACATAGTGAGCGTACTGACTTGCGTCTATAACACGTGATGATCAGAGGGGATGATAATAGTTAAAAAAATATAAATTTTATCGCATAATACAAAATAAAATTCATCTAAAAAAAATATTCACAAAATTTTCTAAAAATCTGTATAAATAATTATCATCTTTACCTTTTCTAACTTGACAATTGCAGAGTCTAGATTTTGTAAAAATCAAGAATCTTACGTAAATTTAAATTTAAGAAAAAAAAAAAAAAAAACAGTACCTGGACACTTTTAAAGATATAAATTTGGATAAAATTGTATCTTGCATTTTAATAAAATCTATCATCTAATTTAAAAATTAGAAATTCATAATTTAAAAGAACAAAAAACACTGGCATTTATCAATAATATTGTTTACTCAAACAATCGGGATCACCATTGCCATCGTTATCATCATCATCTCTTCATTACCTCCCTGCGGAAAGAACTGCGAGAAGATCTTTTTGAAGGCATCCTCGTCGACTAAGCCGCTTGGGCACTCCTGCTTGAAGCCCCGATAGATCAGCTGGATCTCCTTTCGGGAAAATCTCGTGGTGGCCGCGAGGGTGGCAAGCTCCTCCGGCTTGTGTCGGCCGCCAAGGGCGAGCGCGGCGCCCCCGGAGCTCCCTAAAACGCCCCCGAGTCCTTCAAGCTCTCCTTCTGCAAGTTCGCAAGCCCTTCACTCCTAAGACTGCGTCGCGCCATCGAGATGCTCCCTCTCGCCCCTCCCTCGTTGTCGAACTATCGGGGGCTAGTCTTCGCTTATAGGCCATGGCCAGCCCCCAAATGTCCGTGACGACTGAGGGAGAGGTTTCCATTTATCTCTTCTGTTCTACTTGAAAGAAAAAGATGCAAGGGGGTTCTTCTTTTGATTTTTATTGCTCGAGGGAACCATCGAGGTGACCTTAGCACCCCTAAAGAAGGGGTGGGCGTACTCTATTCTAAAGGGGACCTACACAGTGCGCAGACTTGCAGGCGGAGAAGTCGTGAGAGGCGAGAGACAACAGACAGGGGTGAAGAGAGATCGTGGAAGTGATTCGCACTACAGAAACTTGCTTGTTTTTTCATAATTAAGAATTGATAAACTACTGTTTGTTAAAACAAAAAGTGCTAATATTATACAAAAATAATATGCTGATTTGAGAGAAAAATAGGTTTGTTAAAGGCAAATATTTTATAAAATAATATTCAGATTTGAGAGAAAAACAAGATAAAATAATGTTATACTTAATATTTTTAATTTGTAACTATATTGTTAACAAGCTCTATAGTGCAAATCATTGAAAGATTAAGAGATTGAAAGAGAAGATTGCGAGGATACATTCTTTGGATTCTGAGAGTGAAGAGAGTTCATAAATACGATTCTATAGTGCTGAGTGATGCTCCACAAAGGATTTAATCAAAAATACTTTTTGCAATAAAGTGCAATAATAAATTACAATACGTGTGTGCGTTTTTAATTTCTGTAAAATAATTTTTATAAAAGTAATTAAAATGACTTAATTTCTTCGCAAGTGAAAATGTACACTAAGTATAAAAAAGACGCGACTTTATTTTTAATTTTACTTTTTATAAAAACCTTCACCGAGATAATATTAATTATCGAGTTGATTAACTACGGAAGTTAGACGTTACACTATCAGTTAATCAAACAATCATAGAGATTTACTACTGGAAAGTCTAATGTAATTTCTAGAAGACTACAAAGTATTCGAGCAATCGTGAGATATTCTACAATAATATACAACGGAAAAGATCTAAAAATAGAAAGTAATCTTGAGAGATTCAAGTACAAAGAAGCAAAAAAAACAAGGGTTAAAGAGTCTGAAAGTTCATGTATTAAGAGGTCTACAAAGTTGAGGGGCTACAAAATTCTAAAATCTACAGTTCTAAAAATTTAAATATTCGGTGGTTTAAAAATGTAAAAATGGGGTCGTTCGATAATCTGAGAAACCGAGAGGTTTAAAGCAGACTCTAGGGATGTATGTGAAAACTGCTGTCGTAAATTCGTCGTCCGCAGTTCACTGGCGATAATATGCCAAGAATCACTTTCTCTAAAGAACTGCGAAGTTTCGATTATCCCCTTTATGTACTGCAACCATTAGCTCTGGTCCCGGGTATCCGGGGTTGCCATAGTAACGTTGCAGCTCCTACCCCGTGCTTCCTGACCACCCCTTCTTTTTGCGAAAGCTTCGTGAATATTCGTGAAGTAACGCGACGGGATTTTATCCGTCTTATCTCCTCTATTGAAGACGAAATCTTCAAATCGTAATTTTGATTTACGAAATGATTGATTACACTAATTATAACTGCTTGACTATATCTTTCGTAAAAAAAAATAAAATTAAATATTTTATAGTTTTTTGATTAATTTGCTTTACACTATTGTTTATATATGTTAAATATTTATCCTATCATTTAAAAATTACAAAATATTATATTGCAAAAATATAAAGGGAAAGTTTAAGATCCTAAAATTCTAAGAAAAAGGAGATTAAGAATTTAAAGAACTAATTACAATCCAAAGATGTAATTATCTACAAATCCTAAAATTCTAATATTATTATGCATCTATAGATAAGAATCTAATAATCTAAAAAGTCTAGATTCTAATATTATTAGCTATATCTATTAGTAAATAAAGTCTAAAATTTAGATATATAAAAGTTTTAGGCGTACAAATAATTGTAAACACACACAAAAGATAGCTAGTTAAAGAGATTAGAAGACTAGAAAATCCAAAATTCTCGAGAAAACTATAAGAATTCACAGATTCAAGAATTACTTGAAATTCTTATTGTAAAGAAAGAAGAGTTGAAGAATTAAATAATCCGGAGAATTTCAGTTTCAGAATCTCAAGATACGATATCATAGAGAGATAGCAAGGGGATGACAAACAAATAGATGGCTTACCAAACTTCGGAAGCCGATTATTTAAACACCAAGAAATCCCAGAATCGATAACTGCAAGATTCGAAATGTTAGAGAAAAAGATATTCGAGAATATCACCCGAGGGTGCATCCGAAGACTCGGACCAAGTCGAAAGACCTTTGACATATTAGCAGTCCTGGTGCGACAAGGGTTGAACTCAAGCCTTTACAAAAACTACCATTCATAGAGCATGATATCGTTAGGCACAAGGAAAATCTTGTATGGACAAAACAGATAAATAAACAAACAGACAGACAGATAGACCAAGCAACCCGTGTCCACTGGGGGAAAGGAGGTGTAAGAGAAGAAGAGAGGAAAGGACCCGTCACTGATCACCTTGGTGCTGCATTCGGCAGTTATCACCCCCGGCTGTCGCTCCGCTTGTCAACGACGCTCTCCGCTGAGTAGTCGCTCGACTGGTCCAAGTATCAATGGCTGTGCACGTCGTGCCGCGAGTATATCGAACGGCCGTACGAACGCGGGACGACAAAGGAGGAAGAGTCTCGTATTCTACTAGTCTAGTTCTTTGTTTTTTTTTTTTTTGTTTTTTACCGCCGTTCTCGCTTTCCGGACTTACTTTTGTCGCGGCTCTTACGCGCCTTCATCGGCCAGCAAGCGCGCAACACTTTCTGCTCGGCCTGGTCTTGATATATCAGCAGCGAGATGGGATATCGGGATTCGATTTACCACCACTGATCGGCGCGACGCATCCCGCGACACGCTTTCCGGCGAGGAACTCCGCGCGCGCACGGAGCGGGGGAGAGAGTAAGAATGGATGGATCACCACGCAATTGCGGATGCTGCGCACGGGATGCTGCTGGTTGCTGCTGCCTCCGCACTGTCGCGACGCCGAACGGTGGTTGCGGACGCGTAGATGGTGCCACACTGAACCACTTAAGGGGTTCGTGGGAAAGCGTGCCACACGTCACTTTCAACGCGCAAGTGCGGCGATCTTCGACAGCTTGTGGTAGCGACGGCTCAACGAGAACTTCGAGTGACTTTGAGCGAAATCACTCCGAATATTAACAGTCGGAAATTCTGGAAAATTTTAAAGATGTTGAAAAACTTGGCTTCAAGATAATAGATCTGAATTTTCTGGCTTTCTCTAATTTAAGGAATTAAATTTAGCTAGCCGACAATAAGTGGATGTTGGAAAGCAAGAGATACAAACTTAAACAGAATTGTTTAATATTTAGCAAAACAAAATTAATTCCTTCAATTAGAAAGAGTTAAAAAATTTAGATCTATTCCAGCTTGATAGAATTTTGAATAAAACATTAGGCAGAGGAAAAATAAAACCACAGCTATTAAACGAGGTCGACGAAGACGACCTTACACGTTTAACAACTATAAAAGTCTTGAAAGCCTCAAAAATAGAAGTCTTGCAACTCTTGAAAGTCTTTTAAAAGCTTTGGAAGTCCCGAGGCATTAAAAGCTCTCACGAAATAATAAACATCGTATAAAGCCGCGCATATACTTGCCACATCCTGATATTATATCATTCTATCACGGTAGTATAGACGATACTGTAATGTCTTACATTACAAGAAAGATAATAGACACATCAATATATAATAGACTTATCAGTACTTTGCTATTTAAAAAAATGTGACGACAAGCAGAATACGTTTGCACTTGTATCGATCCTGTTGTCTTATTTTTCATATTTACTTCAATTAAATTAACTCAAAATCCATTTAATACAAAATTTTTGTACAAAATGGAACTTTTATAAATTTTTCTACTCACGTACAATTTTGTTGTTTATAATATCGAATTTTTTAAATATCTTAATGTATACAATTGCTGTTATCTACATGAGTTTCTTATTCAAACTCGTATAATTGAAAAACTCACAATGACATGAATAATACAAAACTATCGTGATACTGCAAGAAATTAAATCAGCATATCATATCACTCTATGAAATGTCTCAGTGATATGGAACAAGTCTGTACGCGGTTTTATATCATAAAACTGATAATATTATTGTTAAATATTTTTAGCTCATCAACGTTTCTTTAATAATAACTCTATTATTAAAGTAACCTGCCGTGAAATGTCATTGTAGCTGACAAGTTAGGCCACCCCAATTGCTAGCCGTCATAATTTAAAAATAGACTGTCCATTAATCCTGTGGACACCATAATCATCAAAAAATACTAATATATTTGACTGACAAGTTGTCAAGTTAAATATGATTCTAATAATAACAAAAGTTCTTTTTTAATGTTCCAATAAATTAAAATTATCAATTAATTTCTTAATTTATGATAAATTTAATAATTTCTATAAAATCCTAATTATAAATTTAATATTAATACTAATATATTAATATTAATATTTTTTCAGAATTCATCAATGTTTGTTTAAAATGTTTTGACAGGCAATATTTAATTTTCTTTTCAACACTTTGTACGTCTATTCTTTAGAAATGCAATTTTTCGACGAAGTAAAATGGATCAATCTCATTGGTTTTTGCAAAAATAGCAGACAATTATTAATTCACATTCTCACACTTACGTCATATAGAGTATAAAACGTCAATATCTTCTGGAATAATTGGCACATTTAGCTTAGGTATAACGCATAAAAGCTTTAATATTTCAATAATATAGCAATATGGGATGGCAAATAAATTTCCGATATGCTGTATAAATATTTAAATACCTCATCAATATTGAGTATCATTTTCGTGTTTTGAGTGTTGATATTTATCGATGCTTACCTCATTTTCTCTTCTTATATTCCATTCCTTATACATTTCTGTGTAAACTTTTGTCATATCATGTATGTAATCTATCTGTCTTCTGTAAATTTTTTAAGAGCTCTTGGCGAATCTCACGACTTCTGTGTAAACAAACATGCGAGTCGATGTAAAAGTAGCACAGCGGCGAGAATCTGAGTTTGTTCACAACGCTATTTGCTGAGACATATATTTCAAAAGAATATTGCTGAACATTATACCACAAAAGTTCTCTTTTCTTTCTCTTAATCCACCGTAATGTTTCCTACAATATTCGTGACATACGTGTTATAAATTAATCAAATTTTACTTGAAAAAAATACTTAATTGTAACAAACTCACCAATAATGATTAAACTTACAATTAGATGAATTCTTGACACGCAATAATCTTATTACAAATCTTGCATACTTCCACTGCAAATTTTTAGATACGACTATAACAAAATGGCGGATAAGACGCAAAAAGATTTATGACTTGAAGTTAGCTATCTCATTGTCAGACTGTCCATCCTTCTTCTAGCGTAATTCTAGAGGTATTTTCGCGATTAAGATTGGCGTTCGATTTCTCCAGTGACGGATCGATGATGATTGGAGGGTGTTCTATCAAAGTTGGCATTTCCGATATTTTGATTTTGTGCACGGGGACCAATCGATGAGTAGCTTTTCCGGCACGGTGGTACCATCTAATGATATCAATTTGACGGTACTTCAAGATCCACGCGGCTAGCTGCTGAGAATGCGACTTTACGGTGTTTCGCGCTAAAAGTCAGTCAGGCTCGAATTCGAAATCGCGGTTGGGGATGAGCGACGGAGCAGACGAAATTCCGCCATACAGCAGCAGCAGCATGAATATCGCCGGCGATATCGCCCAACTGTCCTACAAGGAGCTACAGGCCCTGGCCCTGAGGTACCGTGTACCGGGTAACGTCAAGGTGAGCTGTCATCGTCGTCGCGACGCTGCTGTCGGTGCCGATCGGCCGTCTCTCTACTCGTTTCAATTCTATTGTTCGTCGTCGTTTCTTCGTTCTTCGAGGCAATTAATCGAAATTACGACCGGTGTAACCGATCCTCAAGCCTATCATGGTGGCGGTGATTCAAAGAGATTTGACATCCCAAAGTCGTACTTGATCGCGTTGGCCGGATTTCGGGTTCGTTTAGGGACATGATTTGGGCGGATACGGGGAATTCTAACCAAGATTAATTATACCAGAAGTCGACGTAACGTCAAAGACGTCAATCGTGGCGAAGATTGTGCTAATCATGACTAACGGATATTCGCTTTGGAATTCGGTCCGAATGTCGTTATCTGCCTATTCCTTTCAAGCAGATATAGATAATCGTTGTGAGAAGGCTACTTTTGGCGAACAGATAATCAAATGTTCTTCTTTCGGTTGAGATTATGATGGGAGAAGAAATGCGAAATCTTAACCATGATTAAAATTATTCGACCATGATTAAAAATCTTAACCATGATTAAAATTAACTTGTCGATGAAATAATTAGGTCCGTTTGTTTTCTTATACTTTATATACTTTGTTCCTTTGTTTCTTTTTTTCACCAAGAAATATACATTTATTTCGTTTGAAATACAGAATATATAGTTGAGATAAACGTCATTTTCATAAACTTGAGTTATTACTTCTGTATTTATTTATTATTTATTTGACTGTTTTTCCTTGTAACTTTTGCAATATTATTAATTATTTAAAATTGACATATTTAATTTGATCAAAATTGTATTATCTTATAAACTGTTATTGTAATTGTAAAATATCTTTCAAATTTTTAACTTTGACAATGAATAATTTTATCTGTTAATCTAGATGATTTTATTATTTTTTAAATTATTTACGTAAGAATACACTATGTAATTCTATTGCAAATATAAAGAGAACGTTTTTAGATAAAATATTTTTTAAATTCTAATTTGCTCATATATTTTTTTTTGTAAAATGTTTTCAAACTTTTGATTTTTGTGTTTTAACATAATCTTGATTACAGAAAAAGGTGTTGGTCAAAGTTCTGCAAGCTGCCAGAAGCGGAAATGAAATGGAGTTCAGTCGACTATTGCAGGAGTTGAGAAAGAATCGTAAGAGAAAGGCAAGGAAATCAAAGGATTCCAAACTCGGGATAACATCAACGCCGCTACATAGTCCTGATTACATTATGGCTGACGACGATTATTACTGTCAGCAACAACAACAGCAGCAACAGCCACAAGCCCCTTATCAGTGGGTAAGTTATTAGAAATTTAATTTTGCAATTTGACTTATTAAAATTAATTATCATGTCAAATAATTAATATTGTATGTATAGAATTAATGTTATTATTGTAAAATATTTAGTCTGCTAGATTGTTTCGTAGGTAAAATGCTTTTCGTGTCTAAAATCTTACATGCTCTACAATGGCTGTTAATGGGTATCAATTTATTTTGATTAATCTCAATAAATTTTTTTACATTTTTCAATATTTGACAAGTATGTGGAATCTCACTTAGTATCTATTATATATGTATTATTACGTTACATTGTAATTAACCACAGTTACAATTATGTAATAACTCCTATAAACTACTATTGTATCGCAACGTTGCATTACTATTTGTTTTGCGATGCAGCGATCAAGCGGCGTTGATTGACTTCGGGCAAGTTTCCGTCTATTCTGCAGATCGGCGCTGAAGAGGAGATAGTGAGTAAGGACGATGACAAGTTCCCGCACTACGAGGAGTTCAAGCAGTTTTTGCTGAAGAGGATCCAACGCGAGTTCCAGGCATGCGACAACAATAACAACCAAATGCAGGACTTGCACTTGGACACTATTGTGGATCTGCAAAGCGCGCCGATATCACCGAATTTGCAAATGATTCCTCTCGACGGACAGAACTATCTTAAATCGAATCTAATCAACGATGCAGACCCATTGGCGATCTCCTCGGTCGACAGATCGAGTTATCAAGTGCTGAAAGAGCCCGAGGGAAGTTCGCAGGGGTCGTTTCTGCTGAAAAGGATGCTACAGGCGCCGGTAGGCGCCAATCTAGGCGAAATCGCTAGTTCGCTCTTTTGGGCCAGCAATCTGCTGGACAATTCTGACACTCTAACTGCCGAATCTGAGAGCAACGAGAATGAGGATCGCGAATTGGACGAGGAATTGGCATTGGAAGAACATTTTGCGGACACCAACGCCAACGATTATTGTTTATTGAAAAATAACAAGGGCGAGTACCTGCTGAACGAGGCAAACTTGATATCTCAGCAAGTTCCCAGCGTGCTGCCCGCCGACGATCAGTACAGATTTCCCAACGAAGTGAACAATCGGCCGAATAACTCTTACCAGAACTGGACAATTACTAGTGTGACGGAAGTGCCTAATGGCGATTTGCAGTCCCCCAAAATTTTCCACGCGATCTACTACAACAACACGGATCCTACCATGACGGCTGCGAACAACAATATGACTTATCAGTATCCGAACGACACTGCCTGCAATGGCGGTCAAAACTTTTTCAACTTTGATGCACAAGACACTAATTCATATGCGACCGGCACGGACATGATGACCACGAACAATTCCAACGATATTTATTATCTGCAAAATTTTGGCAAACACAACGGAGAAATGGGAACAGAATATTTCCGCAATGTCGATACTTTCGGACAGAATAACGCTCAGCAAAATGTCTACGCGAACAATCAACAGTATCAGTATTTTTATCCTCGACCTGAGGAGGCGATTGATCCGATAAACGAAAGATTAGAACAACAGCAAAGTAACGTTATGGCAGAAGTACAAAATGATGTTGTCAATCAAGAAACTGTTACGGAGAATTTGCACAGACCGATAAATGGTGAGCGTTCTACTTACACCTTTCATTCCAAACAAATAAATACAATGTAATATATAAAATATTTTATAAAAATATTTTTCGTATGTAACATCAATTGAGACTTTTGCGAAGGGCAGCTTTTATTTCTCGATATTTTCTAATGTTTCAATCAAGAACTAAACGACCATTTCATTAATTAGGAACAGTGGAGCCATTCTGGCCAAAATGGACCGCTCAGACCAACAATAATTTGGAAAACACCCTGAACTATCACATATCCAAACAGGTGGACTATTCTAAATTGAATATGACGTCCTGCGTGTACTGTTACGAGGCGCCGATCGTCATGCATCAACCTAGTCACGGTTCTATTCCGACAGATTCTGGCTGCTGGCATGAGCGAAGATACACCGCCGAGCAACGACAACATTCCTTTTTGCCGTATTGGATGCTGTACAACGACACATCACAGGGTATGCGAATGACGAATATGTCTAGTGATCCTATGATGCCGTCGCACGCGACCACTATCCCTAGCAATGATAATTTGAAGGACATCGTCCACGACACTTCCGTGGCACCGATCAACGATGTGTGGATGAATGAATACGAGCCGGTGTCTATCGCCGATGAGATGAACGTTCACGTGTCGGATCCGCTTTTCTGCAACGTCGCCGTCGATCGGATCGACGACATTCCGGACACGCCGGATATCACGAAAACTTAAAGTGAGTTCGAAATATTTATGACAGTAAATAAGCAACATTAGAGTAAACGAGACGGGGCTTGCAAGTGGAACGAATAAAAGTGTTCTCCAAAAGCGACAGGGTAATAATATAGTTTTTCCGAAACAAGCATAATTCTTTTGTTTCTAAGTGCGGGGAGAGCGTTGAATTGTTATTGTTCCGAGAACGAACTTAGTCTTTTTATATCTTTGTTAATCGCACAATAACAATTAAACAACTATTTCGCGAGATTGCCACTTGCTAATATGAGACTTCGTCCATACATTCGTCCATATCGCTGATAAGTGATACGCGTAATTATTTCTATTGATTAGAATAAAAATAGGAGCGATATCCAAATAGAAATCAATAGCAAACAGAAATGGAATAATCGATATCTCCTTAGGAGACAGACTAAATCTATTTCTAAATGCATACTTTTTCTATTTCAAATTGTTGTATGTTTTATTTTGACATAGAAACAATCGTCCTTCAGAATTCTAGCGTTCTTTCTATTCTTTATATTAGAGAGAAGTAAAAAGATAAAATAACGTAAGAAAATAAATAATAAAACACATTAAATACTCTTAATTAAATACTCGAACTTGTTTACGTAAAGTTATGATACTTTGCATCGTGAGAATTATTTTTTTCATGTGCAAGAAAGAAAGAATTAGTAGAGTTTTTATATTATATATAGGATTTACATATGTTACATCCTGTATATTATATAGAAAATAGATAAATAATAGAAAATAAAAAATTATTATATACTTATTAATAAATAATTAGTAGAGTATTCTTATGTTAGATTATACAGCGAGATAGTAGGATTTTGTATATTTTAATATATAAATAAATAAAGTTTACATATATGCATCAAAAAATCTACGTGCGTGCATCTAATTTACATGCATTTAATACGCTTCATTATTGGAAAACATATAAACAAACATTGACAAACATTAATTACGAATCAAGAATTGATTATCTTGAAAAATTGATAGAAATGTGATCGTGACTTTAAGCCACATCAAACTTTTTCTGACTCACCCGATATGGCACCTGGTTGAAACTGCGAGCGGATGTAATTCTTCAATTTCATCGAAATCGATTCCTTTCTTCTTCCTCCTCCATATGCTCTTATTTCGCTGTCCAGATCGCCTGAATTCTTTTTCCGTCCCGGAGATCTCCCCGGCGTCACGTGTACACTATACATTTTCGTTGATACGTCGCCGATGTTTAATAATTAAATCTCCTGTCAGTTGATATAAAAATAAAAGTGCTTTGCCTGCAAATCAATATAAAATAACTTTATAATACTTTACACAACTTAAAGTATATATATATTTCTTTTTATCTTATTTAATCTGCCCGTTTATTGCAGATACAAAATAGAAACTTTTGCAAATAGCGACTGCTTTTATCGCGTTTCGTTTTACTAAGCTCATTAGAATTTAAATAAATCTCACGGGTCTTTGGATTACGACTTCCTTGTTTCACATTTCTTCTCACCTCCGAAAGTCGAGAGGGTGAAATCGGCGGTGCGAGTCGGCGCGCAGTTCGCGAAAGACTGCGCTTGAAGTGCGTTAAAGCGAAGCAGGTAAATGCTGCAGCAGACTGCCGCTTGTATGTATATGCATATACACGCCGTGGATGCAACGGGGTTGCATTTGAGTCGCGCAGTTTTAATGAGGTGCTCCGCAGCGCTCCGCGGCACTAATTATACGGACCACTTCAAACACTTTTCTTACGCCTCTCCACAAACCTGAGCTTGCTATGAGAACGTGAAGGCTTGATTAATTAACTGGCCTTAATTAGTGAGCTTTCTCGACTAAAATATTCCATCATTTCGTACAATATAATTAAATATATTTTCATATATTCTGTGAATCATTTTATATGTTTCTACAAGAAAATTCTCGTTATAATTTTTGTTGTATTGTACAAAGTATGTTGCAATCTATTTCCATTGCAAGAACGGTACTATGGTTCCTTTCATATATATTATCTAATTTTCGGGGTATATTAGTTGTGTACAATAAGGGACAATCGCGCGGGGCATTCATATGTATTTTTTCGTACTTATTACAATATATATATAATTCATACTTATTATTCCAACTATTCATAATTACTCCAACAAATGTTTAAAATACTTGGAAAAAAAAGATAGGATCATCAAATCTTTGTTTCACTTTTCTATGCAGCCTGAATGTCACTTGTCTGTCATTGCTCAGCAACCGCCGGTATCTGCGTCCCTTCAATGGGCGAATCCGGAAGATACTTCCCCTCATACCAGTTTCCTTTCAAATCCATCGCGCGATTATGATTAACGGTATTCGTTAAACATTCTTCAATCGCTGCATCTATATTATCTGCGGTGATGAATGTAACAGCTTCCTGTTTGGCTTTTCTGATCCGTTCGTCGATCTTCTTCTTCTGCTTCTCCTGCCGCTGTTCTTGCTTCAGCAACTTCTGCAGAATAATCTCCCTTTTGCTCTCCTTTATCTTGGCCAGTCTGGCCTCTCGTATCTTCGCCACTTCTGTATTCCATTCATCATTTATGGCGCTACACTTTTCAAAGTCTTTCTCCTCTGCTGCTTTCATAGTCGCCTCATCATATTGCACTCTGTTTCTTTCCTCAACTTCAACGAAATATGACCTGAAATACATCATACATTAATTTCTGAATAAAAATAGAAGAGTTTTTATATACGGATTTCTAAATAATCACTATCTAGAATCTTTTTCAGCCAAAAATAAAAAATAACAAATTTCAGGATTATAGATTATATTTTGCATTTGCACCTAAGTGATGTCATGTATGTCCTGTAATTGTTATATAAACGTTGCAACTCCTGTTTATCCACTTCTGGTATAACACGTTTCTTTGGTACTCGATATAATTTCGATTTTGCTGTAGGTAACCAAATTGGTTTCCTCTTCCAACGCACACACTGTGTATAGACAGAATTTGGGATGAAAGACTCGCAGAGCCTGGTGGTACTAATTGTCAGAGTGCTGGCGTTCATTATCTTTATGGCCTGCATCATTTTTAGAACTGAAAAAAATTTATGTATTAGAAAAAATCTATTATTACTCCATCTTTCTATCATCATTATAACATTAATTATTACTACAGTATTATTGTTACATTTTTAATCAGTCATTTTTTGAATTTACATTTACGATTCTAATATTAGATATTTAAAGACTAAATAAAAAGATTTAATATATAATTTGTATTAATATAATATTGCAGTGAACACTTCAAAAGAGACTAGATTTAAAAAATGTAAAAATACAATAATTAATAGTTTAAAAAAGTTAATATAACATAATGAATACTGTAGTATCAAAGATTAAACAATAAATACCATAATATATTTTAAAATAGATATTCTACAGCTCTGCTTGTTCCCTTTTTTATGTTTACCACTCCAATTTCTCTTTGAGGTTATGGTATCTTTTCGTAGACATCTGGCGAGAGTACTTGATATTATTTAAGTCGAAATGCGACTGAAGATAACATTGTTTTTGGTTACTGAGTATCATATACTGCTACACAGCGCTGTTCATCAGCCGAATTTTGGCGGCTCGAATTAAACCAATAGTTATAATTTATAGAATATGTTTATTGAAAATGATCGTGTATAATGCGACGTATCTATAATATACAACAACAAAAAGATTCCGCAAAACACATTCATTCGAGCTCTCTCGTGTGTTTTTCTGTTTTCCTTTTTTGCATTTTTTTTATTCGAAACAATAATAGTGCTCGCATTATATATTAATTAGTCTAATTATCCTTATTATAATTAATGTGTAATTAATTAACCTCCTCACCACGCGGCACGACAATATGCATTCAACACAAACACAGATAAATCTTATCTCAACAATCGTTCTAAAAGTATTATCGCCGTACATGGTTATTATTATTGTTTTTTTTCTCTTTCTTTTTTTTTGTCCTTTGTTCCTTTTTTACAAATATGCCTGAACGCTGTAGAAATTACTTAAAATATATCTGCATCGACGATAATCACAGATATTAATTTGTATCTATACAATCTTGCTTTTTTTTCTCTTTATTACGCCATTCGCGAATCAAACGATAATTGATGTACTGGTAATTAAGACCTATTAATCGAACGGGATTGCGAATACAATTCTACCTGCATCGTGATCGACGGAAATAATTACGTAAGGATAATCACATCTCGTACTTACTCGGGCCGTTCCGAAGAATACAGGGAATCTAATTGGCTGAGAAAAAGAGCATTCCTCAATGTCTTCGGTAATTAAAATTGACACAAAGATCTTTTCGTTGATACCGCACTTTCTGCAGCTCTCCTTCGGAACGCCCCAGAGTGTAAAACTGAAATCTCATTACATTTCGTTATATATGTTCTTTTTTTTTAACGCAGCGTGTTATAACACTGTATCGTCGGGGTATCTTTGGCTTAGACGCAGACAGTTTGTGCTGTTTGTCAAGGAAACGCAAGTAAGGAGAAAACTAATCCGTTTGTTTCGCAGCGATCTTCAATGAAAGTGCTTGCAATTGTTGAAACGTTACGCGATTTTTCACCTCCACGGACTGCGAAATTGAAGGGCTCTGGGCAGCATCATGCTAAATGTTTTTCAGATTGGAAGAATCCGCATTAAGAACGATGATAAATGCGTGAAAAATTATGTTTAATGCGAGGACAATCCTCTAACATCCAGTTTACGATGCAAAATCTTCGAAAATTACATTCATTCAAAAATCAAAATTTACAAAATTCATATTCGTGGCAGTATTTCATATTCGGGGTGGCGGCTATTAAGGATCTAGAAACGCTAACGTGGAGCGACTACTTATATTTAAGTCTCTTCTTTAAGAAATTTGATTGCGAACCAATAAGTAAATTATCAATATCGCAATTAGCATGTCGACGAGCCCTTCAATCGTTAATTCGAGAGATTCTTATTCGTTTCATTCGCATCTGGTTTTCACACAATCTACAATGTGTGTATAAAAAAATTCGTGGTTCGCTTGCTTCTCTTTTTTTTTGCATTTTCTACGCTACTAGGACGTATCTAAGCACCACAACGATCGAATTACATCATTAGAACTCGGATTATCATTTAGAACCACGGAATTTGTAAGTTCCTAGAACCTTTGCAGCTTAGATTCCTAAAGATACTCGGAATCGTAGACTCTCTTAGAGCCTCTCGGGGCCGTTTTCTGGATTCCTAGATCCTTTTACAATCATTCGAAATGCTTTTCTGAACTTTTCTGACTTTCTTAGACCTACGGACATGTCGAAATATTATGCTGTGGTTGAATCTAGATTCTTAGATCAGCGGGAGTTTAGTCGCTCTGGAGTTAAAAATACAGTCTTGTAAAAAGTCCTATAAGTTTTACATCTTGTATGCACGAAAATGATGGCACATGTGTTTCTAGCTTGGCTGTAAGCAAGAATTTCTTGTCGACAATATACTTGAGCTGTGTGTACACTTCATTGGTCGATCAAAGGAAGGCATTTGTGTACAGGATGCCCCGCGATTACTGAATTATTTTCATTTTAATTATAGACTCCTCTCAACGAATCTCGCGCGATCCTCGTCATAGGACCTACATTTCGTTTCAAAAATAATGCGGTAGTCGTCGGACAACTACTATATATTCAGAGTGCAGATTTTTCTCTCGAACTTAGCTTAAACGGTAACGTACATTCCTCATCTCTCCGCATTCCGAACAATTCTCCAAAATTGTGGAAAATTCATTCACTCATTCCGCAAACACGAAGGCTGAATTGCAACAAAGCGAGAATAATCAGCAAATACTATCGCATCGCAAAAACAAGCATTAAACTTTTTTCTCTATTCTTTTTTTCGCATACAGAATTAAAATAAAATACATACGCATATGTACGGAGTACACAAGATGCAGTAAGATCGACTTCGATCATTTTACGGCATCTTGTGCACGTACACTGTCGAATTTGGTCAACTCTTTTTCTCTCTGTCCATCTTTCTCTCATCCTTAATCACTCTCTATACTATAATATTATCAAATGTATATATAAGAATATTTTGTACGATTACATTTTAATAAAATAAGTGATAAACAGTGGGTATAATTATTCAACAAGTATTACGTTTAATAGTAATAACATCCGGTGGTTGATTGGAGGAGATGCTGAATCGAATTACATTTATTCGAATTAAATTATATGTTTGTTTAACTTTTTTAATGCTAATATGACACATATATAACAAATACAGATACCGATGTTTGAAAGTTTCATTCTTCTATTAAAAATCTTTGACATTTTATTAATTCTTAACTTTCTTTCCAAGATTCTTGAGTTCTGATATTATATAAAGTCAATTTTTTCATTAATATTTTAAACTGTATATACTATTTTTCGAATAGTCCGCAACTCATCTCCTTCAACAACCGCAATAATGATAATAATAATAATGATCAATAATAACTAAGAAATTAAAAGATTTTATTCGACGAAACGAAGAAATAAGAAAGAAGAACAAGAATGTTCTATTTTTCATTAGAACTTCAAAGTCTCTATGCAAAATAGTTTTTGGTTATAAACTGTAAAACAGACAATAAACAAATTACCCATTTGTAATAAACAAATAATTCTAACGCCACATACCAAATCTCTGCCAACATAATTGCTATAACTATGCCTACAAACTGTGATAAATATACAATTTCTAAGCATGATCTCTTCAGGAAATCAGGAAAATGTGACATCACGATATCTCTTCTATTTGAATTTAAATACGAAAGATCTATCGTTATAAAGGATTATTATGACTGCGTGTACGATCCTTATGAATTATCTATATTTGCTACTTGGCAGAAATGTATTACTGTGTTTTTAGAGAAAATCTCCCTACTGTATACACGTGCGTTAAAGGTAATTCTTATATCCTGGGATTCTTATATCCTCGGATCCCTAAATCCTCGGATTTCAAGATATCCTAGATTGTGAGATCCCTGGAGTCCAAGATCTCTTGATTTCTAAATCGTTGGAGCTTGTATATTTATCTCGGAATTCTCGAACTTTAAATACTCATTTGAGTTTCGTAAAAACTTTCGTGAGTTTTTCAACTCAATGTTTATCAAAACTTCAAAATTCACGAGGTCTCTCCTTTCTTACATTTAAGGACACTAAATTCCTTTATTCTACAACCCCTCCAAACTTAGAAATCCAGAAATCAGAAGACCTTCCTTTTGTCCGATTATAAATGTTGAGCTTAACATTCGCAGTAAGTAATAAGTGTAGACAGTAGTTCCAGTTATCTTACAAAGCTAATCTCAAAGAACAGGGTCATGACTATGTAACAGTTTCGAAACTGGTATCACTGAGCTTAGCGGACTGCGCGTTACGAGGAAAATTTTCCCTCCCTCCAATCGCGTACATAGCAAAATAGAAGACCGTTCGTTCTATTTTCTTCTGCTTCTTCGTCGGTGAGATGCGTCGTATCCGCCCCTCTCCGTAAAAAATTACATCTCGTAAATAAAAATAACGTTTCTTTCACTTTTGTACGTTGTTGGTAGTGCAAGGCCGTGGCACATGTTTTATCCTACAGCAGGGGTCCTCAAACTAGTGAAGGACTTATAAAAGCAAAGAGGAAGAAAAAGAGTGGCAGCACTGCTATTAAAAGATAGCATAGCTTTGTCAAGTGCAACATCAATATTATCTAATTTTTCAATAATTAAGCAATCAAGATCTATTTCCTTATAATATTGACTTAGCTGGCCAATATATAAAATGGAATATTATTGGATTATGTTATTATAAGATTCATATATGAATTAATATTTTACATATTTATGTTTTTCTTTTCTAAATATATTTTTTTATTTAGAAAATAAAACTAGCCGTTATACCTTTAAGATAGAGGCAAAAGTAAAATGTAATTTATAAATCGTTTATGTATCAACATTTGTAATGTTATTTCCATTGGTTTTCTAATCTCCTCTTTGACAGTTTAACAAAAGTTGTTTGTAAAAAAAATTAAAAAATAAATAATTGAAATACTTCACTGTGTATTATGTCAAAATTGCATAGATGTAAAATGTATGTGGTTTCAGAATAGACACAAACATTTTATCCATGGATCAAATGCAATGTAGATATTAGAAAGTTTGGGAACCCCTGTCCTACACAGATTATTATATCACCAGTCGTTAAATATATAAATAACTTCCGCAAGCTCTTCTCGAGCTCCCTATGGCCAAATTTCGTCATTTGATCGATCTCGTCCGGTGAATTTGGTCTGTCTGGTTTGTCCACTCGCATTCTTAAGTCGATATTATTCAAACGATTATTTCTTACACTTGCGCACTCGATTCCAACAGTAACGTTGTGATGCTCCTTCTTCGCCTCTCTATTCAAGTTGATAAAATTATTCGATCGCTCGCGGCCCATCGATCGGCATGGTGTGCAATACTTCATCCAGCAATTGAAGTGCTCTGTGTAAATGTACCTAGAGAATAAACGAAATAATAATATTAAAAGTAAAACTTTGAAAAAAAAACTTGATAGTTTCATAAACCAATAAAAGAAATATGAACTAAATTTGAAGTAGATTTTTATAATCTTAAATTAATCTTTTGCGTCTAAAATTTTCAAAATTATCTGAATAAAAAATTAAGACCAAGTTCTATATATTGGTCTTTGTTCTTCTTCCTTTGAGCCATAAAAATTAGATTCGCGAAGTAACGTGTTACCTCAATCCAGCATGGTGTTTCTTTAATGCTCTGTCGCGGATAATCCGGACCCCATCCTTTTACAAAACTCAAACGCAGGATACAAAGTCTCCTTAAGTCATCGACTCCAATTCCTGCCGCCGCGCTGAGGCCTATAATTATTATTTATTTATACATAAGTTATGATAAAAACATAATTATTTGTTGAAAGTGCGTCTCAAGAGATGCTCGCGCTCTTAGATTCTTCTTCTTACTCTTGGTGATGGGCGCTCCATGCGTGAGATGGCCTGCAACAGCCGCGGCTTGCGCTGCTGCGGCAGCCTGAGCAGTTGCAGCTTGGCCTCGCATCTGTTTATGACACTGCTTCAGATCAAAGACTTTAATGTACGCTGATGGATAGATTTTGTGTACTGCGTCACCAGGTGCTCGGCCCGCCTCTCTATCCAAATAGTAAGACTGCACAAAGACGCTGTGTTCACTTTGACATCTTAGCCAAACATCACCTTCACCTCTCAAGTCCAGCACAACGCCTTTTCCTAAAATGTGTGTTTCAATTATGAATTTCTGCAATATTCCGTTGAATATTCGAGAACTCGCAATTATTACGAGAGCATCAGTTAGTTACCTATATGAAGACGCGCTCTTTCACTCTGTTCTGTTCTGTGCACATTACTCAAGGCACCTAAACAAAATCTGTTTCCACCGCTCGGATCCACGTAACCGTCTACAGTGACAGTGGGGCAGCCGCTGCTGACTTTAAATGTCTCTCCGACTTGGATATCTAGTTCGAAATAACCGACAGAACACCAATATTCCGGTGCTGGTTGAGTAGAGAGCAATCCTCCGATATTTCCACTAACATCATTTCCGTGACCTCCCCCTGAAAGTATTAAATTCAATGTAATGATGTTGTTGAACTCCCGAATTAAAAAAAAAAATCTACGTCTCAAAATGTAATTGACTTACAATACGACGTAGTGTGAAGGTGTCGCGGATCCGGCGGTTGCATACTTTGAGTATATGTGAGAGTATTAGCCCCAGTCCATTGTGGTGCTCTGGAATTGAACGACGCTGTGCCGACGGAAAAGCCATTCGGATGATGGAGATGCACAGGTGACACGGGAGAGCTCTGTCCTTCACCTATTTAAATAAAGAGAAACAAATCCGGTATATTAAATATGAAAATTAAATTATCTTAAAAAATTAGCAGAGAAATTCAAAATTTTTGTGGAATCTGTGTTCAAAAGAATATAATGATTTTCGTGTTTGTGCATGGTGCGCTTATCACGTACCTAAAGAAGCCGCTAGCGCGTCGACTGTAGGAGGTTGGTTGATGTCTTGCGGAGATGTGGTTGCGCCATAGAATGTATCCGCCGTCGATTGTCCTTGCGCGGGACTCAAGATCTGTGCGCCGGACGTTCCGCTGGACGCAGCGTTCAGCGACTGCTGTTGGCTACCTACGGTGTGACTCATTGGATGTACTACTGCTGCAAAATCAAAATTCATACACAATGCAGGCAACATAAAATATTAAAGTGCACAAACGCTGGCTGCCCTCGCTGTCACTGTTTAATTGCTTTGAAACTGTCCGTCGTTGTTTCCCAGAGAATGTTTCTCATGTAATTAGCATACAGTGCCTCTTTAACTGTGCATAGATTTTTACTTGCAAATTCTTTTCATTCGGCTTCCAATAAATGTTCTAAATGTTCTAATAGTTCTAGTGTTCGAACTTTAGAATTAAAAAGCTGTAGATATTTCTTAACAGAATTTTAATTATTATTTCATATTTACATCTTTTCTTTTCTTTGGGTAATTTCCATAATACATTTTTAAATACATCCTGCGTTTACTTCAAAATAATCTTACAAGTAAACCTACCTTTCTCACCGATTTTATTGAAACTCGGTACACTTATAAAGCATTTTCATGCGGTACACTTATAAACTATTTTCATGCGAAGCAATATCAGTATGATTCAAAACAATCTGATGTCCTTGCAATGTCATATTCTTGAGACAATTTTTCTTTTTTTTCTTTTGCAAAATTTTGTCCGAAGCTTAGTTTTGAGTTATAATTGAAAATATTTTGCTACTTACGAATCCGATACAACGGGCAGGCAGGGACGGCGCAATGCGTCATGAGACGATCGTAAACACTCCACAGTCACTCTTATTATACGTTGCGCGTCGCTGCCTGCCCGGGTGTATCGGACTCGTAAGTAGCAAAGTTATATCAATTATAACTCAAAACTAAGCTTGGGACAAAAGTTTGCAAAAGGAAAAATCGTCTCAGAATTCGCTCAAGAATATGACATTGCAAGGACATCAGGTTGTTTTGAATCATACTGATATTGCTTCGCATAAAAATGATTACCCTCAAATCTCCATAACTCAATAAAAAATGATCGTACAAAAATAAAGTAGTAGTTTTCATCCTTAAAGTTGCACCATTGCCGATATAAAAAAATACGTGTATATTATTTTTGACCGCTCTACAAGTGTACAGAGTTTCAATAAAATCGGCGAGTAACACGAAGGTAGGTTTACTTGTTAGAGATTCTCTTTTCTATTCACGACTCAGATTTATTTTTAATGAAGCGCTATAATTAATTTGGGAAACTCTGATTCGAGTCCAAGAATCATGAAAAATGCACACTGGCGACACTGAGCGAAGACTAATCAGCGACACATAATCGAAAGCTCCTTCAATAATGCTGTGTACAATGAAATACGTACGATGATGCATGTTACGGCCTGCCGAGTGATGAGGCGTAGGGATCCAAGTTTGTCTGGGGCAATTATTGTCGTCCAGTTTAGCATGGGGATTACCGTTATTGCCGCCCCCACCGGCGCTAAACATACCCTCAGTACTGGCTGTGCCGAACAATCAGAAGGAAAAGAAAACAATGAAGCCAAAACAAAAATGAAATCACGCAACAAAAAAGAGAAATTTGCGTAAGCGTATTCTTGCCTGCTAATCTACATTTGGTAGCGATAACGAAAGCGGCTGGCTCGTTAGCAATCAATTTAATAATTAACAATCATATCGAACGTATCGATCCGTATAACATGTATATTTTAGCAGTTAGATGGTGTCTACGTAAATTTTTCCTAAAATA